AATTGCACTACAGTTCAGCTATCGATACTTACCTTTACTGGGTGCGCTTGGGCCGTATTTCCAGCTGTTTTGAATGACGATTTCATAACTCTCGTACTTGGTTACACGCAAAAAATCCCACCTCTTCGCCATAGGTCTTCGACGTCCTCGTCAGTTCTACATTGGTCTCTGTGGGACGTCTCGTCCACTTCCGATTCCACTGAATGTCCTTGCGAGGTACCATGCGAAATATATCCTGTCCTCGTTTCCCTTGCTGAGATCACGCTCCTCCTTGGCCATCGAAGGACCCCTACTACGATCCGATCCGTCTACCGTGATAATATCCTTCACATCTCTATGCCACAGAAAAGCCCTCTCCGTTTTTCTCCGTGCATAATCCCTTCAGTATCTATCCCGAGCCGCAATATTCTACGAAGACAAAAACAGACCAGGGATTCTCGTCATGCTGTCGCCCACATGTCAATATAAATGTTGGATTTCTTGTCTGGAATTCTTTGAACTCTGTGCCAAAGGTATCATCGTCAAACGACAAGTCTGGTTTTAAAGCAAGGCGCCGCCCGCACGTTGTGCAAGAAAACATCGCCGTCATCAATGTATGTATGTACGTACCATTCTGATGGACTTCCGATGGTGGATTTTACACCTATTCCGAGACGTAAGAAGCGAGCAGTGAATACTGTAGAGCCTGCTTCGCATTCCTATAACCCGATTCATACAATCGCTTACGTGCGTTTTGACGGTTATGAGAAGTTGTCATCCATGTGGAGATTTTATACACCGCCTGTGGTGTCAAAACAGGCAAGTATTCAGGAGCACTTCTCGACGATCAAAAATAATGTCATAGCGCCAATTTATGCATTAAGGGGGAATCGAACCCCCGGCGGGTCGAACGTCACGATATGGCAACGACCCAGGTTACCACTACCCCATTAATGCATACGTTTATGATGGCCAAAGAAATTGAAGTACGATGCAACTTGAACCTTGTGCTTGCTTTTTGCTGACCAATAATTGCGGTCTTCACCATCGCACTCCTGGCCAGTGTGCTCTGATGCACCTTGAATGTCTTGTCTATAGCTTTTACTTGCGTCTCCCTGTATGGTCATGAAGTATCCACTATGCACTATGAATGATTGAGGTTGGTCAACATTCATTTCGATAAATCAACGATACAATCTGCCCCGCCCTCAACACTGACAGTCGCTTAGTTGCATGTCTATTGTTCTTGAAGTGGTCTTGCCTCCAATACGATTTTAGTCATCCCTTTATCGAACAATACATACGAGATCCACAATTCTTTGTGTGGGCGCAGTTCTGATTGACAGATAAACCGGGCCGGTGGTCGGAGATGACTGCCTTTGTGTTGAAAGAAGTTCTTATTCTCCGTTCGGCCTTGAACCTAGAAGGGTTGCTGCTGATTCACACGCGCTTTGTTCTCCATCTGTGCTGGCTTTAGATCTGACAATAAAAACAATCCACAAGGCACGTCACTCGACCTTGCTTTGATCTGCGCGGTTGTTTTGTTCTCTATATGGTCATCGGCTACACAATAGTCTCCTCAACGGGAAGATACTTGAGGACTTGTGCCTGCGGTATATAGTCGGTCCCTGCATCTGTGAGGCCCCATCATACATCGTCCTCGCCTGACTTGCTTTGTATATTAGTCCTTCCAACGACCCATAATGGCTACCCCTATGGTGAACCTCGATGTCCCGACCGTCTTTCCTTACGTTGGCGAAAAACTTGTAGAGCCGGTCCAACCTGCCCTGACTGACGAAGAATTCAACGCCTTCCTTTTGTACGTGCCTTTTGTCTTGCCCATAATTACCGGTCTAATTATATCCCGTGTGGTTGTAGAAGTGTATCACCAAATACCACTGAATTTAATTTCTCTAATGAAAGTTCTTACTTTGATGCGAAGTAAGTAATTTTCGATCTTTAATGACAGTTTCTGACATCATCCCCTGCAGCAGCACGATTGATGATATTATTGAATTCACAAATCAAAACCTTTCAAATACAACGTTAGTCCATTCCCTCTGACTTCCTCATGAGATGATCTATTTACAATTCTCTCCAGGACGAATGTCCAGTCATATATGACCCCTCGAGATTTTATCGTAGATTGCGGCTTGGATCCTGCTGAGTTCGAAAGTCTCCAAACCCCTACGCCTTCTGGGGACGCGGATACATGGAACTTGATCCTCCACGAAATGTTGGACAAGATGACGGAATGGTCGAAGACGACTGAATTATCGCTCAAGCAGATTGGTATCAGCGTTGATGACCTGCAGAGATTTGAGCTCCTCGATGACCTGCAGTTCTTGGCCTAAACTTTCCTATGCTGATTGATATGTTTGGCTACATCCCGCCGGCGGGACTCTGTAATGGTAGAATGTGTCTCCTTTCCCTCCACGCTTTTGTCATTCCCGTAGTTTGTATCACATAGCAGCATAAGCACCGAATATCGCAAATGTAGCATAGTTCAATACACATATCATTGGCTGTCGATTATCATAATTTCCTCTCATCTCCACAACTTCCGGGCAAAAACTGTAATACCTCTTGCTGTATTCTCAAGTCCCTGATTTGTACTATACGCAATGATTTGGGACTGATCACCTATCAGGAACAAAGACACTTCGTCGCAGAGCGTGAAGCGAATACGAAACAACGAAGATGAATCTCTCTTGGCATCGAGTAACGAGGCGACGTGGAGGTAGGCGATCGTGAATGTCTCTATGGCTGAGGGAGAATAAAAACAAGGCCCGGGTCTCTAAACGCTGGCATGACACTTCACTGGGACCCAAGTCCTCATCTCTTCCGTTGTGTTACATAGTTGTTTCACTCGTTATAATTCAGATCTCACCCACCTCTTTCAATCTTCAATGTTTAGGCTTTTGATGGCTCGACGCTGGAAATTAAAGCTCTTCAAATACTCAAGTATAAGACAAGCTGCTCTTTCTGCCTCTTGATTTTGTATACAACCTGCTTCTTCATTACATCTAGACATAGACTTACGTTGCGTATTAGACAACATATGTATAGTGAAGAAAAAGACACTTGCAAGACTGCAAGACATACGACTACTCGGATACTTTCATTTCCTTCTCATTAGCTCATATACTTCTCCTTTGTCCACAGCACCCTCCTCGGCTCAAACACGTGGGTGCAGACACCATCCCATGCCATCCCCTCTGCACGACGAGCCGCCTGAAGTCGACCACATGCGCTCGAGGTCAATCTCAACCAACAAAAGCACGGTAATCCCCAACGTGCGCTCATACGCCCGCTCCTGGTCGCCAAAGAGCATTGTCTCGCTCCCATACCTCAGTGTCCTACCGTGGTCGACGTAGGTCCATCGTGCGGAGCTCCCTGTCGCGCCAGGCTCCCTCGCCGGAAACTCCCACCAAGCTGTGATACTGCACGGGAGAATTCCATAAAATTGAGCAAGGATGGGATGGGAAGTCCAGAGACGATGCTGTCAGCTGAGGATCTCTTAACTTTGTGGGCATGAGTAAGGTCACGAAGAGCTGAAAGAAGAACGCACCGAGAGCCATCGTACGTACCGAGAGTCTGCGAATCGAAGCTGTAGCCGAGCGGTGAGATTTGAAATCTTGGCCGGTTTATTTTATGGCAGTGGAGTTGTAGAGATGCCGACCCATCTGACCACAGACTAATGCAGAGCCAAGATTCTGGAGGCAATGCAATGCACTCAGAAATCCAAGATGTGTCGAGGAAGAACCGTGGGTCAGTACTCAGCGCCAGCTCTAGCGTCTATCTACATTCTGCAAATTGTCAATTGACCAAAGTTCATAATCACGCAACAAACTTACCTGTTCCTGCGTACTAGTAGGGCCTTCCCTTAAAACACCTCGGCATCATTCCTGCTCGTTGCCAAGTTGTTGGCGGTGGTACTGCAACACGCGCGTTTTTCCTCCTGCAGGACTGCGATAATCGTATTTCGTTCTCGTAGACGCGTAACGTCTCTTGTGAGTCGGGTGATATTGCGTTCCAGTTCTCGTAAAGACGTCATTCGCCTGGCCGGTTCGGTCTGAATTATCTCCTCATCTTCTCTATTGTTCTCCTTGCTATTGAAGTCGCAAGAGCTTTGAGCAATGAGCTAATCCTGAATTCCATCATCACAACTGCTTGTGTTGAAGCTCCTTCTCAAGAAACTCGGAACGACGGGACGCTCTTCTGCCCAGTGGTGGAAGAAAGAGAGGCGTTGGCTTGTTCAAGGTCCAAATTTGTCGCCTTCATGGGATTGAGCGTGGTGAGAAGCCTACTTCATTTCAAAAACGACTGTCATTAGTATTATGATCAAGATTACGAGTAACAAAGAATTAAACTCCACCGTTTCTTCTTCCCATCTTGCAGCATTGTCTTCGTTCTCCTTGCGTTCTGACGCCTTACCGACGATTTTGCTCGATGCGGTCAACTTAAGTTAGTCTTCTCCTTTGATTGACGTTCTAAGATCGCTCTTATCTGCCTTCAGACTAGCAAGA